TATTATATTTAACAAAATATAATGCTGTGCTGAAGAATCCTTGGGGTATCTTTAATTTCTTTTCTTTTTTATTAATATATATTACACTGTAAATGGGATTTAGTTGTCTGATTAGTGAAGCAGGCTCTCACTGCACAGTTAAACCCTGAATTCCTCAGGGCGTTCTATAGACATTGTTAAAGCATCTTTCCAAGGTGCTGATAACCCATGAGAATTAAGCCTAACATTTCCCTTGTGCTGAGGCTGATTTCATGCTCTGACCCCAGCCTTTGCTTTGTTAATTCATCTTCCTGCACAGAAACCTTTGCATTTGCCCTTAGAAATGTTGTAAGGCTGCACTGTAAAGTAGGAGAGAGAACTGATGCAGGTTTTGGAAGACACCCTGCCACCCCAAACCCAAGAGCTGTGTGGACAGTGGCCTGCAAAGGGCTGTACCACCACAGAGCACCATCCAAAAGATGCAGCAAGACCAACATCACCCTTTGTCCCCAGCAGCAGAAATCGCTCCTTGGTGCTCACAGGCACGGTGCTGCCTTGAAGTGGGCCAGCACCACTGCCTGTGGCCACCCAAGCTGTGCCAGGAGCCTTGGCCAGGGCAGAGCCCAGGAGATGGAGCACTCAGCCCAGAAAAGCCCAGCTGGTGATGCCTAAAGCCCCAGCACAGTCCCTGTGCCCAAACAGCCCTTGAACATGTGCTCGATCACACTCATGAAGAACACTGTGTGCTGAGCTGAAGTTCAAACTCAGGGGTGGCACAAGGACTATCCTACCAAAAACTCCTCTGGAAAATACTTTAAAGCAGTTGGAAAGCAAAGAGTGGGCTGAGAGAGGGATGGATGTGGGGAAGAGGAGAAGAGGGAGGCTGATAGGCAGGTGGATCTTTTCTCACTCTTTTTTGTGGTCCAGTGGCTTTGGTAGAGACAGCTCTGCCTTTCTGCAGATTTTACAGCACCCAGCCCTCATCCACAGTAGCTCATCAGAGGGCATGTGGAGCCTAAACTCTGGCTGACGGTGCCTACACAATTCTCTGATAGAGAGTGGAGATCCTTCTTAGCCTGTCAAGCAGTAAAAGTAGTCCTGAGAACCTGGGGCCACATCATTATGCACTTTATTACATCTCATTAAGACTATATATTATAGAAGTAACGTTGTAGAGTTGGAGAGAGCCAAGCCAAGCAGGTTTTAGCATATTGCAAGCATAAGAAAATTCTTCATCACTTTGGATTTATTTGCTAACACAATTGTCTTTAAAACAGTCAAACACTGTACTATCCAAGTAGAAAAAATCAAATGTACAATAAACTGACCAGTAAATAAAAATCAGATTAAAAAGATTTAAAGACAAAAGACATTTTAAATCACTATAGTTCTGCCTCCTTAGTTGTCAGGCTTTGAACATTTCACTGACAGATACATGTGTGTATATATATATATATATATATATATACACATACAACATTGTTATGAGATATACTTCCAAACCTGTAATTGAATAATACTCAAAGAAAAGTAATAGGCAGAACTACCTGATTATTTTATAAATTATTCAACCAATTAGTGACATGGTAATGTTCCTACCTAAAGACTAGTGAAGTCCCTCTGCACAGGGCATGAGGCAGAGTTTTGTAATTCAGCTGATTTTTTGGTCCTTCGGTTCCCAGACCCAGCTTGGACATCATTTTTGTAGCTAAGCAGTTTATACAGTGAATAGCACAGCTGCATTTTCAGAGTGCTGAGTCTTCCACAATATGATCAGCAGAAATATTCACAGTGTATATACTGGTGTTTTAGCATTTCAGGCTTAATTAAAGAAAGACTAGACTAGATTAACTAGAAGAGAGAATAGGTTTCCATATTTCTAGGACCTGAAGGAGAATACATGGGACAGGAGTAGATGTTCTTTCTTTATGTCTACACAGTAGAAAAATATCTCCTCAGATTTACAAAGGTAAAAATGTTTCATTCATAGGTGACCTTTCCCCTCCTGGTCACTGAAGAAGAAGTAGATTACTGAGCCAACAGGAAGAAACATTTCCCAGTATTACTGACAATTAAGCAAAATAACAATTTGAAAGCTCGGGAAAAAGGATATATACAGTGAAGAATTGTTTTGCATAGATGTAATAAGTGAACCTGAGAGCAATGCAGGAAGGTTCTGCTGGAACAGACCCAGGAGGCACATTACAAAAACAAAGCACAGCCAGGTGGTCTCATGAAACAGAGGCAATGGGCAGAGCCCTCACAAACCATCACTAATGTCTTCAATATCTTTGATGAAAAAAGTTTTAAGAACTTGTTTAATTACCTTCTGCTTTGATTTCCAAATGGTACCTAAGCAAGTACCTAAGCTTATCCAAAGTGAACTGTAAATTTTATGATCAACTTTTTGGTTTGTGGTAAAAAGCAGCAGGTGAGGCAGGCCAGGGTCCTTGTGTGGACACAGGCAAGACCTAAACCCCAGACACTGAGACCCTGAGTCAACAGCAAGAATTTCCTGAATTAGGATACTACTGATGAATGTACCAGTCAGCAGCAAGGACTTCTGGCTTCCCCCAGCAGTGTGTGGGTACCCTCTCAGCTGCCAAAATCAGGTCATGTCCTCTCTTCCTCTTTCCTAATGCATGGCCCCCAAAACACTCAGGTCCCTACTATTCCCCCAGCTCAGAACCTGTCCCCTGCCTGCTGCAGGAGATGGCCTAGCAAGGATGAAAGAGTTTGCAGTGGCTCCTGTGCCACTGGGAATATGCACACTTCCGTGAAGAAACCCCTGGTATTAAACATGAAAGACCTGAACCTAACAAGGAGCAGGAAAAGTGACATTTAAGGCAAGAAACATTAGACATTTTAGAAAAAATTCCAATCCAGTACAGAGAAACAACTTCATAAATCACAAAATGACAGAATCTGTCCCGCTGGAAAATAACCGTGAGAGAGGAATTCTTGCAAATGCATCTCTGATTTGAGAGATAAAATTAGAAAACACAGAGTTGACTGTTGTGAAACCATCTTTGCATATTCCAGCAATTTAGAAAATTCAGACAAGTGCCTGAGTTGATGTCCTGATTTTTCTGAGGACAACAACCATATTGGTACTACCTTTAATTGGGCCAGGAAGTCAACCCTGAACTTTGTGCTGTTGATCCAAAGCAGCCAACATCAAGTCATGTCAGTGCTCATATGAGCACAGAAATGAAGTCAACAGATACTCAATTTGCTAAGGAACTTTCCCATTATGCAGCAAACAGTATCCTTTGCTAAAGACCCATACCTGCTTGTTTGGGGAAAAGGTCTATGCTACCATTATTATGGGAAAAATACCTCCAGGAGAAAAATTTGGTTGTGGCAATTCATATGATAAACTGTAATCTGTGGAACTCAGGAACTGAGCTGAAATTAAGGGAAAATGCTTTCCTCTTAAGAAAACTTTGACTTTTCCAAGGGAAAAAAAAATATTAAAGAATGTTCTGGTCTGAAATTGCAATATTTTGTTTCTAAAAAGTGGCAACACAGTCTTGAGGACAGGAGTATGTGCTTCCTTCACTCTGGAAGGTAGTTTGAGATCCTGTTCTTTTCCATAAATTATGCTTCCATTATGTCTCCCTTCTTTCTAAAGACACACAGGAAAATAACCCAATTTGTTTCAGTTAGTTAGCGTCAGTAAACCTTACTCCACTGTGACTGTTGGACAATCATAAAATCATAGAATGATTTGGGCTGTAAGGGCCTTAATGATCATCTAATTCCAACCCCCTGCCACAGGTGAGGACACCTCCTTGCACTTCCACCAGGTTGCTCAGCCCCATCCAACATGGCCTTGAACATTTCTAGTGATGAGGCACCCACAACTTCTCTGAGCAGTCTGTTCCAGTGCCTCAGCACCCTCACAGTAAAGAACTTCTTCCTAGCAGCTAATCCAAAACTACTCCAGTTTACAGCCATTCCCCCTTGCCCTGTCACTCCATGCCTCTGTGAAAAGTCCCTCTCTTTCTTCTTGTAGACTCCGTTCATGTACTGAAGGCTGAAATGTAGGTTACACCAAAGCCTTCCCTTCCCCAGACTGACCAATCCCAACTCTCACAACCTTTCCTCATAGGAAGGGTGCTTCATCCCTCTAATTGTCTTGGTGGCTTCCTCTCCCTTCCCTTGACCTGCTGCCCTTGGTGCTTTGGATGGAGTCCAGGACACTGTTGGTTTTTTGGACTGCAAAAGCCTGTTGCTGGGTCATGTCCAGCCTCTTACCCACCAGCACCCCTGAGTCTTTCTAGACAGCACTACTCTTGATCTGTTCATCCCCAGATGTTGTTGCTACAAGGAATTGCCCAGACCTGGGTGCAGCCCCTTGCACTTGGTCTTGTTAAACCTCATGAAATTCCCAAGGGCCAAGTCTCATTGTCCAAGTCCCATTGGATGCCAACCCATCCTTCAGGTGTGGTCACCATACAACTCTGCTTGGTGTCATCTGCAAACTTGCTGAGGGTGCACTTGATCCCTTTATCTGTCATTAATGAAGATATTAAATGGCACTGGTGCCAGTATGGACCCCTGAGGGGCACCACATTTCACTGATGTCCATTAGGACTCTGAGACCCTCTGGATACAATCATCCAACCAAGTCCTTATACAACAGTATTTCACCAATCTTTGTAAAAAAAGTTTCTCTTACTAATATTTCTATACTGATAAAAAAAACTAAAGCATATGAAAAAATTATATTTTGTGTCTATGTGTATCCACACAGAGACTAATATGGATTTGCAGTAATTAAATCAGTCTAAAGAAACTCCTTTTGAAATAACTCCACCATGTGAAAATGAAATAATGCACAAGGTATAAATATACACCACTTGTATAGGTACCTTTCTGTCAGGAAAAAAAGGGGTTTTTTTTGCTTCTTCCTTCCCCTCCCCCCCTCCCAGTAACATTTATGTGTTGAAGTTTTTCTGCTGTAATAAAATATCTTTTCATTAATACTCTTAAAAATCAAATTGAAAACTCAACTAGTCTGTATTTTTACTATATTTTTAAGTCCTCTACTCCTCAATTGCTCTTTTTTTAGCCAGACAAGTCAAATTATGCTGGTACTCTGTTTTTCTGTCACATACTCTTGCCTTAAAATCATAAGTCATCCTGTCCCATCCAGAACATGAGGGCAAGCACACACTCTACTTAAAATGCCATGTAAGACTCAGAAACTATCAAATCCATCATTTAAAACTGGTATAGTATTTCTGGCTTAAAAAAAAATAAATGTAGATGAAGCTATTTTCAGCACAAGGTAAAAACCATTCCCTGGGAAAAAATCTGCCTACAGTGTAAACCGGAAAAAATGGTGACATATTTATAAGTATCATGGTGCCAGGAATCCCCTCTGAGAGCCTCTGATTTTCACCATACATTGATTTTTATCATAAGCTGTTCTAAAATTAGAAGAGGCCACGATCTGACAAGTATCCTTTATGTTTTAGTCCTACAGATTAATACTATGAGGTACTTTCTCAGCTTGAAGCTGTTCCAAAACCAGAGGCACTAATCTGACATGTTAAACTGAACTTATATAAAGTCTTGTGTCTTTACATCATGCAACATCATTTATGGCATGCTGGGCTGTGACAGCTTAAGTTATGAAAATGCAGTATCACACAGCAGATCAGAGCTGGCTTTATAGCAGGTCTCATGAATTTCTTCATCCAGAAAGAATAAATTTTACTGTGGGAGCATTCTGCATAGAACCCCTGCAGAGCAATAGATTAAAACTGGATTTTAGCATTTATGTCTTGCTCAACTATAAATCAGGAATTAGAATTGATAATGGCAGTTATCCATCAACAGCAGTGCGACTGCAGATGTGCCGGAGGAGTTTTATGGTTAAAAGGAGTTACTTTTTATTATTATACTTAAAGAAAAGCTCTTCTATTTGGAATGTTTCTAGGTTCTAAATAAGGAACGGTCAGATCCATGCAGATCATCAGCACAGAGGAGGAAGATCCATTTGGAGTAACACCTCTCCATGTTTCAGACCATCATTCTGAAACTCTGGCACTGGGCTTGAGCAGTTCGGATCGCAGCCTGCCCCTGAGGGAAGAGCTGGAAGGGACAGCTACCACAGCCGGCAGGACTCTGCCCCGCGGTTCATCGTCGTGTTCGCGGCGCAGTGGAACGCTTTGCGGAACTCCTCGAAGTTGCTCATGGCTCCGATTACTCTGCAAAGAGAAAAGTGATTGACGTGCAGGTTGCCTTTTGTCAAACACTACAGGTCTGCAAGTGTTTCAGTGTCTTCACTTCAGGCTGAATTTTCAGGCTTTCGTATAATTTTTTCTACAAATAAAACCAAAAGGTTCAGGAGATGGGCTCCCATTTAAAGTTAATATGAATCAAATATTGTTTCATGCTTTGAGAAACATCTTGCTTTGCTAGAAACTCGATGAAAACAAATGTATTTTGTGATACTGTGTCCTTTAGAACAATTTTCTAATGTAACCCATGGTGCATGGTGGAATTCTTCTCCCAGCCCTGCCAGACAGCTGCGGTGCAGCAGGCAGGAGGATGTAAGCACACACTGGGGTTGTGCTGGCAGTGAGGTTGTGCTGGCAGTGGTTTCATGAGTCTCCAGATTCTCTTAACAGCACGCTCTGCCCACCCACACACATCCACACCCACACACACTGGGTCCCTGGGACTTTGCAGGCTCTTGCTGGGCAGCTCAGCCTTGCACCTGTGAGCATCTCAACTCCTCTGATATTTTGGAAATCTATTTTCTGAGCCTTCTGCCCTGAGTAGCTCTCTTGCTCCTGCCACAGGTGGTGTGATAGTGAAAGAGCCTGACACAAGCTGGACAATGTGCCTGAATTCTTGACTAGTACCCTCAGGCACAGGGGAAGAGCTTGGTCTTTGCAGGCAGTCATCCTTGGCTCCTGCTTTCACATCTGCATTATTTGATGCAGTCAGAAACTATTCTTTTACCTTTGCTAGACTGAAATTGTGTTGCTTGCTGTTTTTTCCTATGCTTTTAACCATCTTGGGATTTACTAACCTGAAACTTGCAATGGTATTAAAGAGTTTTCTGAGTTAAAAGCAGAAAAATATCTACTGTGATATTTATTGTATACCTTGCCTTTGTTATGCAGTGAGGAGGTATTTTTCTATATTGCAGAAAGTCAGCTTCTCAGTGTAGCTCAAAATGGTAGAAAATATTCTTATTACATTGATTAGACTTTCTGTGAGTAAGAAAATTTGCAGTCATCTGGCACAAAAATACCTAAAGGTCAGTTTTGTATGGAAGATTACCAAATTAGGTTAGACTTCAAATAAGATATGCAGCTTTACTGTAAAAAAAAAAAACAAAAAAAAAAAAACCCTGCAGATACATATTCAGGGACTGGAACAGCAAGAGTTGGTCATGCAGAGCTGCTGCTGATGTTGGTGGGAGTTCTGCCTGCCATGCCAGGGATTTCAATCTGAAATTGGCATTCAGAAATAGCAAAGACACATGCTAATATTGAAAATCTGCCAATTAAAACCAAGTAAACCCAGAATTTATCCAGTGAAAAAATCTTTATGTATGCATGCATGCCACTTTTCTACCCATGGTTTGATTTTGCCACACATTAACTGAAATCAGAGTGGAGTGTCTGGATTTCATCCCATTGAATTATAGTAGAGACACCTTTCCTTGAGCAGGTCACACTGGCCTCCCTTGGTAATCAATAGAAAGATGTACTTGCAGAGTCTAAGTAATTTAAACTTATTACCTGCTGAAAGATTATTTATATATATATATATATATTAACATCTAAAATAACATTTCCTTTTTGACTTTGAAGAGAAACTGGTGTGAGTAGTTCAGCTGCACAGACCTGTGCTCAAGACATGCGTTGTTCATTTCTATAATTTTTATTGTTACCTTTTATAATTACTTTTAAAAGGGTAGTTTGGGCTTTTTGGACAGAAAGAGCTGTCATTGTTGGAGCTACCTGTATTACAGTTATGCTTATAATGGTCTTGGGACATAAATGAAACCAAGTTGGGAGAAATAGAGAAGATAATTTTTTAGCCCAGCTGATATGATTTGCAAGGAGAAAAGCACCACTGCTTTTCTTCAGTTCTGAAACAGAAGCCAGTTTTCAGTATTTCTCACAAAAACTAAGAAAAAGTTTTGTCTATATTTTCTAGATCTCATATTAATCTAAACTTCTCTAAAATTTTCTTTCATAGCCTGATGCCTTCAGGAGTTTTCCTAATAAATACTCTATCCCTAGAGTTCCATGTGTATCACCATCTCATGGGAATGGAGCAATGAAATGATTCAGAATATATACATACAAGTAAATAAATCTGAAGAATTTAAAAGACAACAGATGGTTATTTTACCAAAATCTTAACACAGGTAGGTATTATGAAAATAATATCTCTGTAGGCTGAAGGTCAACCTGATGCTCCTGTCCTCATTGTCATTATGTATTTTCAATATTAAAAGCCACACAGATTTGCATACTGAACTACTTTTACTCTCACTAACTGGTATAACACTCTTTTAGTCAACAAAAACTGGTAGGATTTTCTGGAAGGTAAATAATCCACTGTATTTTGTGAATTTTGTCCAAATAAAGAGGTAATGTAGTACTTGACCAAGGGCAAACACAGAATTCTTAGTTAAGTAAATGCAACCAACATGTTCTTGGTGAAGAAAAATAAACTCTGGCTTCCTAATTCCTGTTTAGTCTCTAAAACTTTCCCCCTTCCTATTGCAGGGAGTTCATGAGTGTCTGTGGCTAGAGGAGCCTGTGGGAGACCTTTTGGCAAGGAGAGTTTCCCTCTGTTATGGCTGGACAAGCACAGCTCCTTCAAGCAAAGTGTCACTTGAAGGCCAGTGGAAGAGTTTGGTCTTGAACTGAACTCACAGGACACATTTTGCTTTGCATTATCAATGTAATTCAAGGTTGAGACTTAGGAGCTTTTAATGAACTCAGGCAGATTAAATCAAGGACCCTCCTTATATTCACTGTTTTCTAAACTAGAATTGCTTAGGGCAAGAAAGTGATAGATGAGGCATTTTAGGTACTCAGACCATGATTACAGGAATCACAGGGATCAGAGTGTGTTCTGGTTCAAATGCTTTTGAAGGTGGATGCAAGCTCCTCAATTTCACAGAAGAGCATTTATAATAGTGAAAGATAAGCTAATAAAACCAGTTCAATTTCCATCTAAACCAAGAGCACAGTCCAATTTTGTGTTTGCTCTTAACCCCCTCTTAAAATGCTATATTTCTGCACTTCTGTTCTGCAGTGATTGATTCTGTGTGTACACTGAGGAAATACCATATTTGCACTACCTGAACTGAGGAGGGCTGTGAGCTCCAGTATATATTTGCTCCCTCGCAGATTCTGGTCTAAAGGAGTTGCATCTTACCTAATAAAATAAAATTAAAAAATTAAAAAGAACAGAAAAAAACTCATTATCTGTGATGACTTTTTATATACAGCAAAATGTAATGTCACTGTTCTTAAGATGTTTACTACTTATAGAATGCATAAAACAGAAAGACACCATAAATTCCTGCTTTGTTTCACCTTTGCCAATCTGCAGATTTCTTTTGTTATATTCTCTTGCTTTTCAAATCCCTTAATGGATCCAGTGTCCACCCACTGTTTTTCTCTACACACTTTCATATCATCTAGTCAGTCACTTTGCTAGTTCTTTTTTTGAAGTTCTCAATAATGGTAGCTTGTCTTTCAGCTTGTTCTGCAGCATCTCGCACCTTAATAATTACCAAACATGCTTCTTGGTCCCAAAACTATGTAATGTGTATAAAAGGTACACATAATGATGCTTATCATCTCTAGAATTGCTGCTATATTACCTAATATATTTATGCCATGTTGGAATGTCAGTATCTTTTCTCATCTGTCAGTAAATTACACATCTTCCACATATCCATCAGTGGTCCTCAGTTCCCTGTTCCTGATATGACACTTAACCCAATCATAAATGACCAAAAAACAGGGTACACAGAACATTTGCACAACTGAATAATCCCTCTTACGCTGTGTCCATTGCATGAAAAATCTCCTTTAAACTGCCCCTACCTTACCTAAGTCTCTACATTGAATGTTCCTATCAACAAAATCCTTTAAGGCAGATTGCCCATAGGATTTCTGTGGACTTCAGTGCAATTTTTTCTGGCTGAACACAGTTCTGACATTTTAAATAAGTCTGTTGAGTATCTTGAGCTTTGTGAAAATAGTCTGAGCTCGAGGGTACCTGACATACACTGCTCTCACTGTGCATGTGCCCTCCCTGTGAGGGACCACTGGACATATGATTTCTGCAGTGGTCCTGTAAAACCCCCAGATGTTCTCTATAGCTTCAAAATTTTCTTGGAGAAAAACTGACACAAGGTGAAACTTAATTCAGCATAAACAATGAAAGTGTAATATTGTCTTTGTTCAATATAATAAACTGAAACAGCCATAGGCCCATAGACTGCTACACTGACTCTCATCAGAGAAATTATTTTCAGCCAGGACTGCTTGCATTGGGTCCTGTTTTTTCAGTTTGAGATGATTAATTCCTTCAACTGGTGGCAAAGTTTTATAGCTTTTTACTTCTCATGTAGGGAGTTTGCCCCAATTTTTTTACCCAAATAAATAATTTCCGATCCTCTCCCTCACTCTATGCTTTCTCTAAAAAACTCACATCCCTTATAAAAGTTTTGTCACAGCATATTTAGTTACAGATGGGAAAAAATAAACTAAGATTTTCTTCACTGCTGCTTAGTTTCCTTGAACAGCGTACACAGTAACAAGTGGTGTGAGTTCAGATTGAAGGAGGCTGATGAGTCAATACATGCAGGAAGACCCTTTTTGTGCAGGGAAGCAGAAAGCAGAAAGAAAGTTGTTGTGACGATACTGTGCAAAGCCAAAAAAAATTTCAGCAGTTCTGGGACCATGAGTAGTTGAGGACAAAAAGGGAAAGAGAAGGAAATAATAATTGTCGGAGAAGTCTTTGCTTATACTCTCAAAATCTATGTTTTGGTGATGCAGATTTTTGAAAACAAGCAAGCTCATCTGTGCATTGCACATTGTTCAAGATAATAGAGAGGATTTGAAACACATTTGTGCTACTCACATGGGCATAACTCAGAAAGAAAAGCTGGTTATGTGTGAACTCAAGGCCTGGCAGTAAAGGCTCTTCTTCTCCTCCCCTTTTTTCTGTTATCCATTTCCTGTATGCCTGATAAGAAAGATACTCAGTGCCTTTCAGCAGCATGAAGATAACCATAGCTTTTTGTTTTATTTATTTTTTTAATAATACGATGTTTCAGATATTTTTCTATCTACTTACCCTGAAAGCTTCTCGCAAACCTCCATTATCTGCAATGTTTTCTGCCAAAGTTCTCTTCCCTTTCACCTTGGCAAAATGAAAGAACATCAGTCATTTGACCCATTTCTGAACTTCCTACTTGATCAACTTCAAAATGAGAGGGAAAAGTAAAACAAGGCAAGAGCACCTCAGTCAATTTTAACTAAATTTGGCTAAGAAAACTGGGTTTCCATGTGAATACTGCTAGTAAACTATTTTCTGTGATGAGTTATCCTGGCTCTGGTCATAGATCTCTGTAGCACAAAACATAGTAGATTAGATAGAATCTACTTAAGAATCCAGTCCTGATCTTTGAGCTGAGTGTCAGTAATTTTCCCCTAAGGACTGTTTATATCTGGTGACATGTAACATCCAGTAGCCTCTTAAACTTTTATCTAAAAGGCTATATTTATTTCTTTACATAACTCTTAATATGCTACTGGGATGCTAAAATAACTTCTAAGTCATAACATAAATAAGCATAATTAAAAATAGCTGTCAGAGACAGAATCAAAATTGGTAGTATATTCAGTGCTCTAAAAATATCTGCAAAGGAGATTCCTGCTGCTTCTCCTGGTTATTGATTCCAAGAACAGGAGCAATAGCAACAAGAATGTATTGTTGGAAACTGCACTACATAAACTTTGTGAGGAAACTGGTCTGCTGGCATTACCAAGTGCAATGTCATTACAAAGAAATCCTGATTTCTGCTGAAGTAGCATTATCTCTACTCACCCAGCCTACTAAAGTACTTGTGTTACCAACTGTGTTTGTAATTAAGCACTTTTACTCTCTCCTGTGCCTCAAATAAGCAAGATAATTGAGCATGGTTTTGAGCAGGGCTCTGTAGGTCAGTGCTGGCTGCAGCCATCAGCTCTCCCGTGCCACAGGGATCAGGACAGTGGGGTTGGCATCAGGACTCAGTCTCAGGATGGCAAATGAGGGGAAAATTCAAGGGAATGGCCAGGAACTTGTGCACAGCCCCACACTCAGCGCAGATGAGCACCTAGATTGGACTCAGGACATCTTACAGGAAAAATGGGAGCCACAGAGGAAAGTGCAACCCTTCCTGACAGCTCTCCCCTGCCTCAGGAGGATGGAGATGGAGGTGAGAGAAGCTTTTAGGACACCAGGTGCTGGGGCACCAGGGAGCAGACATGCACACAGCTGCCTTTTCCCCTGGCCTTCCTGCTCACACATTTTACTTGCATTGGGCTTGTGAGCGAGACTGAGAGCACAAGATCAGAGTAACCTAACAGTGGCACAGGGCCACAGGCCAGCTAAAAATTGGAAGAATTCTTTCTGCTGATCTCAGGCAGCTGTGGATCAGGTATTTGAGACTACTCTGCCCAGAGAGTTTGTGGCAGGGATCACGGACCTTGATAAGCCCTTTATTTGATAAGATGAATTTATGTGATTAATGCACTCTGAAGCTATATCTATATCCACTTTTTCTTTCATTAGGTTTCTTTTCTGGAGACAATTTTATTGTATACCAAATGAGAAGGAAGAAGAATAAATAGGTTTCTTGATCCATGAAAATATTCATACAAGGGTAAAAAACCTGCAGAGTGCTGATGTAAATGACAGGCCCAAATGATAATAAAAAAGGTCTTTGCTTGCATAACTCTTCAAACAAACGCTATAAAATATAGTAGAAAATTGGAAAAATCTTCTATCATCTAAAAAGTGGTTTTGGTTATCCTGTGGATATAGAAGGAATGGGATGACAAGGCTGTGGGTAACAGGATTTCTCTAGTGAGCCCATGGACTTCAAAGGCAGTATCTACACTGGGAGGAAATTCAGACCTACCTCATCTCAAGAGACAGTGCAAAAGGTAAAGTGGATGGCCAAGCCAATGGCAGAGGCATGGGAAGAGCTCAGCCACATCCTTGGGGGAGGTTTTAAAGATCTTCTTTCAGTAACATTTTTGTAATGATGATTTTTGTCCTACAAATATTCAGGAATGAACCTGAGAATTTTTATTTGTAAATTAGCTTATTATGAAATATTTCAAGTCTGAGTTGCTGGACTTCACACTGGACCACAATATGGCTTTGTTATCTCTGAGATCAGTACACACAAGCCTGGGAAAAGTGCTAGAACTGTTGATAAGAATTTAACGGCCTCACTATTCTTAAAAGGCAAAGATGTACCAGTATTTCTAAAATGTAGGTAGAGGTGATAGAATTGAGTGGGGACTGGAGTATGTGTTTTATCCTGAAAACTAAGATCAAAATCCTGTCCCAGACAACATCACTGGAATTTCAGCTATTCATTTCTGAAGATCTGGGACATATCCTGTTTATCCTCATTTTGGACACACATATGAATGTACACACCTTCAGAGAAGCCCATACCTTTGATACACAATGAAACAAAAACAATTCCCTTGCACTTTTCCAATCCTTTTCTAGGAGATACTGCTGTCATATTCCCTTGCTTAAACATACAAATGGGGTCTGTGTGCACACATGGAAGGAATAGCAAGAGTTGAATCTGAAATAAAGTAGGGTTTATGCATCCATTTTATAGCTGCAATAAATAACAGGCAGAATTGTTAAAGGAATCTATAAAACATGCTATTATATTCTTTCTAAAAGAGTGAATGTTCAGTTTTCATTAGAGACTTCATCTTCAGAAGACATTTAACATGCTCACAATAATTAGACCAGCCCTGCTGAGTAGCTTCATCCTCTTCCTCTGATTCCAAAAATATGTGATGGAGAGAAATGGTTTAACCCTGTCACCAGAGTGTGGGTAGTGGTACTTGACTGGACTAATCAAACCTGACAGACAATTTTTAACACAATTATTCACCTCAAAAAATCATTTCTTGTGAGAAATGAAGTTGGTAGTTTAATATTCCAATATGTTGGGATTTATAAAAAGAGAACTTAAATGAAAGGAAAAAAATCACAACAACCCAAATTCCTCATGTACCACTGTTTTCAGTTACTGGTGGTTTACATACATGTGAGCCTGCTTGCTTCCAGTAGTAATTGTTGTATTGATTAATCATGCATTTTGTTTTCTCTTTAAATTTTTCTTCAGAGTCAGTTGTCCACCAAGGGTCTAAATTTCCATTTTTGTCATATTTCCGACCTCAAAAAGGAGAGAAAAAAAAAAAAAGAATGTTTTTGCAGGAAAGAACCTTTACAATTTAGGAATTTATCACAGAAATGAGAGGTGAATGTTCTCATGTGAGTATGTGTAAAAAATGGATAGGAACAGTGAGCAAAATCTTGACCCCACTCAAATCAGCAGTGAAAATCTGGCATTCTATTTATTGTCTATTTATTTATTTGCAGAAAAATATAGTAATACCTAATGAATTCTATAGCACATTTTATAATTACATAGTGTAAGAGGCACTTAGCTTGCTTGCAAGTATAATTGCATTTTTCATCCTCAGACCATATGTCTTTCATTCTGTTAATGTGATGGTAAATAATTTATTATTAATTCTTCACCTGATCAGGAAACAAATGCATTTCATGCAAACTTCTAAAGTTTCCACAAGGTGACAAATTCCCTAGAGATGTATTTCTTTCTGTATCTGGAAGGTAAGACTCTGGTAAGGAGGGGTCTGCTTGGGAATCAAGCTTTAGGTTCCTTTCTCATTGGCAGGAGACGAGTGGAGATTAGGTGCTTACCTACACAAGGTGGGAGTTTATGAAGGAAAATGTCTCCATTCTGGGTGTTTGCTGACACAAAGTGTTGTGGAGCAAACAGAATACCAGGATTTTTTTGGGTTTGTTGGGGTTTTTTTTTTAAGGTATTCGATATTACACAACATAAGCAAACTCAAAATTACTCCCTAGAGGAGGGGGTTCAAGTTTCTTTCTGTCTGCATCTCCCTCCTCCCCACTCTCCCCAAACTTTCTCTCAGGTCCCAATTTTTAAAAGCACTTTACTGAGACAGCCAAACCTAGGTAGTGGCAATGCCCCACTCCACACAGTTTGTCAGGACAATTGCATTGACATTTTATGACTACTTTTTTCCTGTCTCTCTTTTTTTTTTATTTAATTTTAATATTTTGCAACACCTTTCTCTACCAATCTTGTTCCAGTATTGTACTTTAAAACTTTACAATTATCTTTTTAAAAATGTTAAACTTGAAATGAAAATTTATTTAGTAATTTTTATCAAAGAGAAACTATCCCTTTGTCCTTCCGACTCCCCCCGTCCCTCTTAGGACTTTCAGAATCTGCTGCTGATTTAGTTTTCATTCAAGACAAACAGAAAGAATCAAACTTGTGGTATTTCTTACCAAATAAAATCCAATTCAGACAAGCATGATTCCATGTAAATAAATCTAATAAATAAAAGTTTATAATTTTTTCACACACCTCAGCACATTAAAAAAAACAAAATAAGAAAAATGCTACAGCATGTACAAGTCAGCTTTATAATCTGTCAACTCTGTAAATAAAAAAAGTTATCAAAATGCATCAAATACTCACCATTGCTATCAAATCCATGAGTAAACTCATGGCCAACAATCACTCCTATGGCACCATAACTTAATGACCTGTAACACAAAGAAGCAGCTTCCTCAGAAAGTGCTCACAGTTGTGAACATTAAAGGACAAAAGACCCCAGGAAATATCATTATTTATTTAAAAATAGGCTGAGGAGGCAGGGGATATAGGTCTAAAAATCAAACCCACACAATTTTGACTTAAAGACATTGAAAATCTTAATGTTAAACTCTCATTTAAAAGTAAGAATTAATCTAAAGTTTTGAAAGCACTGTGATAGTTCACTCTTCCAACCAAATTCCTTATCAGGATCATATGAGCTCCATCCTCCTTCAGCTGACTGAATTCTGAATATTCTGACTGGGAACAGGACAAAGTTATAGCTGTAACTACTCTGAAATAATGATTACCTTTTGTAAAGCATTAACAGATTTCCATTCAGTTTTAAAAAGAAAGGTCTCATAATTCCCTTGCACCTGCCCTGGAATAGGACATGATACACAGTAAGATCTAAGACACCTGGGAGACAGAGTAAAAAGAAATACTTTGTATTCCTGACTGACAATTAATTATATCTTCCTTATTATATCCCAATAAGCATGCTTTTAGGAGAAATAGGAATGAAAGAGGGAAAAGCTCAGGGCTTTTTTACAGTGGGTATCATGGGGCTATGTGACTTACTCAATGTATCTTTCCTTTGTTAAGTTACTTTTTGTGATTTTAATTTTTTCAGTTATTGAGATGCTATACTTCAAAGTAGCTTACAGTATTTCTAAGACATTGTATTGAAATAGAAGGCAGAGGATTTTGAAATAACATATTATTGGACTTAATGATCCATAGTGCACTAATTGCTCATCTCAGTCATGCCCAAAAACTATTATATCGTTTAATTCCCTCTGCTCCCATGAAAATCCTTCACTTTGTTTTTTGCTTTCTTGAATGGTACTTTGCATGTGTTAAAATCTCCCCTACTGTTTTTTAGCCCAAGTACTGTTGCACACCATCTCCAAAAAATGCAGGTTAAAATTGCATGTTTCAGCAATGGAAATGCCATCCTTTAGTGTGACAAGTTTGTAATCTTGTGTAGCACACAGTGATAATTACCCCTAATAAATGCACTATGTAAGACTTGTTTTCCATATCTGAAGTAAAGGGGTTATACAGGATCTTTTGCAGCTGGAGAAGTATAAAAATAATGGCACAAAATGTATAAAGAGATCCAGAAGAAACAAACCCTATTACTAAATACATCTTATTTTTCTTCTAAGATTCTTTGTCACCATGAGTGGTAGGGACAAAGAACAGGCTGGTGTTCTGGCACTATGGCTCCTTGGAGATTTCCTTAGCTCCAAAAGATGGGGTTAAGGTTGCAGGGAATTTTGGCCTTTGAATCTGTGAACCCCAGCACAGCATTTTGTCCATCTCAACAATATTTTTTCCAGAAATTTTCGCAGTTCAGTTCATGCTTTTCACTTCTGGGCACAGTTGGACAGAGATGGAAGGGTTAGGTGCAGCCCAGCAGATACCATATTAAAGGGGAACTTTCTGGGAATGGGGAGGCTCAGAACTGTAAGGAAGCAATGAGGTCAGATAGTTTGAAGTCTCTATTTCAATATATATGGCACTGAAGACTCACAATTGTGAACAGTGGCATTTGAGTGTTATTTTAATGTACTGAGATGTAAAAGTGATAACTAAACTTTACTTTCTGCAAATAGATGTAACTGGATTTTGGTGGTTGTGCTGGAACTGGACACTAAAATGCCACTAAATGTTAAATATTTGCTAAATTAGATTTTCAGCAGGCACTGGTAACTTCTTGATGGTTTATCTGTTCCACTGCCATGTAATGTTTCTTCTAAGCAGATAGAAAACGTCCAGAATATTTCAAGGACAAAAGCAATCTGCTGTCTGATATAAACCAGCTACATTTGTTTACTAAATTATATTTTGATACGTACTCCAGCAAAACCAATTTAAGCTAAGGTAACCTTTAAGGAAGAGAAATGAGCAAAGTATAATATTTTGAAAGAACCACAGTTTTATCACAATGGCAGAAGGTCAGAATACAGAGAAATCTGTTCAGAAAGCAAAGCTGGTCTGCAATAATGATAACAGAAAATGAGTTCACCTTAAGAAAGAAGAAAGGACTTTCTTCTATCCCCAATTACCACTTACAAAGTCACCTGGCCCATAAGAATTCTGTTTGAATGCAAATTAATTTGGTCATAAATTGAACATATATTGCCAAATTTCCTGTTTACAAGGACATAATCTAGATTGGATACTGGCAAAACCAAAAAGTTTGAAATGTTTGATTTGTTTTTTCTTTTTAACAATGATTTATTAAGGATATGTTTCGCCAGCAACTGGCTTTATATAACTGCAAAATAACTTTCAGAAACTGCCACCAGAAATTGTTCATGGTCTTACCCTGCCCTAAAATAGAAAGCTACTGAACTGCACAAAAGCAGTGATTTTTCAAAATTTAATGTATGTGACCTATAATTACCCTTCCTTAGCTACACTGGCACATGGGCCTGCTCAGGCAGTCTCAGGCAATCACTTATGCACATGAAGATATTCTCATGCACCTTGACAGGCACAGACAAGGGCCCACTGCTAATCTTAGATATTAGCAGAAAATGAACAATACACTGATAATAACTGGCTTCTCTGGGTATTCACTTCTATTCAGGAAGTGTTAGTTATCTGATTTACAATTCCTTTTAATACCTGCCATGTGCACACTGCTACATCTGCATGCTGTAGCATTGAAATACTTCCACTTGGGTGCACTTAATTAGCAATTCCTGTGAGAAATCAGTCATCAGTTTAAGACAACAGCAACATATACAGCTCCCAAGGGTAAGAAAATATCACACAAAGCAGCACTTCTCAAAGTCAGCCCTTCCAGAGGCAAAAGCAGGATACAGCAGGAGAGAATGCACAACCCAAGGACCAAGTTTGCCTTAGAGCAGGACAACACAGTTTTCCTAGGGGCTAGCTTTCAGTTGCCTTCAGCAGTGCAGCCTTCTTCTCCACACCCTCCTCTTTGTCTATATATGTTTGCAATACCTTTCCCTGTTATTCCTCAGTTCTAGGTGGATGAGGTTCCCTTGTGCACTACTTACCTAGGATACTCTGCTCCCCAAAAGAAAGGCTTTTGAAGTTCTCCTGCTGGGAACCCTGCAATTAAAAAAGGAAAAAAAAAAAAACAGAAAAAACTGGTGAGGTCAATTGAATACAGCTGAGTAGCTGTCACAATGTCCAAGGGTTTAGATTTTATGACCTCATTTGTTTGGTTTCAGAAGGTTTTTCAAGGGGAGACTGCAATAGGGAGGTAGACTGCAATAGGGAGGATCTCAGAGAGGCAGCAGAGATCCTGCCACAAGCAGGTCTGAATAAATGCATGTGTTCCTGTGAGAAACACACCTCATGCTTCCTATGAAGGGGACTGGATTATCCTCAGGTGGCTGACTGATCAATAGAAAATACATAGGTGAAGTGCAATAAGAATTAAAATACTGTTAGCTTAGTGAGGCTTCAGTGAAGCAAGAAATATGAAAATTATAAAATACAAGCCTGATTCTATTTAGTCTATGAAAAATAGAGGTAAATGAACATACTTAGGCACTTCTGTAAAGGAAAACTGTAGATTATTAAGGCTGTAGGGCCAGCCTAGCTATGAATATTACCTGGCTGCTTCTGGTAGACTAAGCAGTTGCCAAAAAAATCAACAATGGAAACACTCTGGTGAGTGATGAGCTACTGATGTTTCACACAAGAATCAAAATTGTTCCTCAAATTCAAAGTCACAGGTTTATTTTTAATTCCAGGGTGACATTTTAGTGCCAGGATACTAAAGACAGTAGAACTGCACATGGTAGAAGTTTAACATCCCAAATAATTGCTAAATAAAACATACACCCACGGTCAAAGTTCTTATGTGATGGTGAAAAGTGACGTACTTCCAGGCCCAAATTTACTGTCTTGTGTCACAAACTCTCATCTATAAAGCACAGGTACACACCTGCTTATAAGATTTACCCACATGGTCATCACCTTGTTGAGGAAGAACATTTCCTCAAGTGACTCACTTGTTTTCCCAGGAACTCTTCTTTACCCTATGGGTCTCTCTTCAAGAAATCACCTGAACACCCAGAACAATACAAAAACTATATTCATTTGATTCTAACACTCTTCAGTTTTTTGTTGATAGTTTGGTTATGGACTTCTTTATATCTGAGATAAGTTTTTAGTCAAGACCTTTGTCTTTTCCTTACAAAGTCTTTAAAAACTTACTTTCAAATAAAAAAAAAGAAAACAAAAAACCCAACAAACTAAGAAACCCAAACCAAACCCAGTATGCTGAGCGTAATTCATGCCAAGTGATGTGGCACAAGGAATGTCCTCCTGTTGCTCCTCCATGGCTGCCATCATTCCCTATCTGCAATTAGCTTATAAAAAGGGTAAGCTTCAAACTTATTTTCCAAGTGTTGTCTGGGTTTTTTTATCCTTAATTTTCCAGATGTTGTTTTATTCTTTAAAGCACAATATAATTTTCTTTTCCAGCACTGCAAACCACAGTTTGCAAGGACAAAGTTTTACTGATCTAACTCTCCTTGCCTCCCAGTGCACAGAGAAGATTATTTATTATGCATGTTTTGAACATTTTAGGGAGCAATGGTACACTCATACAACCTGAGGAAAATTGCTTGTTAGGCCTTAAGAGCTGTGTTCAGAGCTGAAAATCTAGTTTGAACTGGTTCCATCCAAACACTGAAATTCAGAAAAGGTTTTGTAAAGCTTAGGCTCTGACAACTCTAAATTATGCTATCCCCACAATAGCGGAGGAGAGCAACTGTGGTCAAAATGAGCAAATGAGCCCATACTGAAGGCAGTATGAACCAAGGTAGCACAGTCACCCCACAAATCATGTTTAATGATCACACAATTCTGGGTGCCTGGCACTGCACCAAGAGGCTATCCAGATCTTTTAAGGAGCTGCAATTATTTTTTATAAAATAATATAAACTTGTAGTGAGTTTGCTCTTGTCTGCAGTAGAGGTAATATACATTATTTACAGCAAATTAGGTGCAAATCTTCACTCAGGCTTATGCAGCTACACTAAATGTGTCATCATAGAACATTGCTGAAACACAGTCAGCTGAGTTAAGCCATGAGATAGTTTCACTAAACAAGTCAATGGGCATGAATGGTAGGGAGCTCCAATGCTGAATCTGTACAACAGGTTGGTAATTATTTTACTCAGTCAGGATCTATTTTAGGTTAGATATAACTGAGCAAAATGCTGGTTGAAGGAGTGGTTTCTGCTTCAGGGCATGTATGAAAACACCTCTGTAGCTGGCACTAAAGGAAGCTCAGGAAGTATTTTCAGGCCAAAGCAGAGTTAGAGGCCAGTAGAATGTACTACACATTTCAGAAAACCTCAGGAAACTGTAATACATTACCACCAGTAGTTGTTTGGTTTTATTTTGTTTGGGGGGTGCATGTTTTTATGGTTTTGTTGGTTTTGTTTGTTTGTTTGTTGGTAATAAAGAAAAATCTAGGTCTGAAAGTGATTCTTGGTGAGCTAGAAAAGCAAATGGATCCCATTCTCCTGAGGTCAGCAGCACTGAGGGACTGACGGTGCTTGTCCACTATTCCAACACTACAAGGAACACATTAAGAGCTGACAAATCTTTTCATGCAACATCTCCTGCACAAGACTACTTTTAATGTAATTAAAGGTTTCTATCTTCATTGTATCCATAATGTCATTTTCAGCATCTCTCTCCTGCAGGGTGCTGTAAAGTCAGAATGTATTTAAACTTTGAAGGTGTTTTCTTTTTCTTCAGTTTTGCAGGGGCTTTGCTATCATAAATGGATTAATAAATCTATTTACTAGGTAATACCTTCATGGTATTATTGTATAATACCATGAAGGTATTATACAATAATATATGCATATATTATGTATATACCATAATACATGGTATATTGTATAATACACTTTGCAGATGAATACCCTTACCGCAGTATAATATTGCTAGTTTACCAAGAAGACACAAATAACTGCATTTGATCTGATAATTCCCTGAAAAAAATGCAGAGCAATAATGGATAAACTAAACTAAAGTACATGAGAAGACTCACCAAATCACAAGGAAATTTGGAGTTCAAGTCTAAATATTAATTCAAATTGTATAGTTCACTTACATTATTCAATTATATTGCATGATGTTTTTAACTGAGCAAGGAAAAGCCTTATTCCAAGCTAGTGCATTTACAATTTCCAATAATGAGGTTGGTTTGTTTTAAGCAACTTCACAGGCTAGTGAATCCCCCAGATAAATAACAGATACAAGAGATAGCTGTGCTAAACTGTTTGATATACAGGGTTCTCTGCCAATTGGTGTGCTGACAGTTCTCAGATGTTTTCAAATGCTCTAACTTGTTTTTTTCAAGTCACATTCATTCACTGAATGAATTCAGATGTAGAGTTTTAAAGGGAAGACTAACTGCTGGTCAGTAATCAAAGAACATTGAATTCACATAAGGAAATGTGAAGACAGCTGGGATGTTGGTTAGTTGTCTAAAACAGCCCAAAGGGAAGGATACATTTGTTTAAAATGGTTCCACAGACTTCTATTTGGACTACTGAATCTCATCCCAGTGATAGTTTTGATTTTGGGGTCTAGCTGTCAGTCTCACTGGCAAGGGGCTCCTGCAAGTTTTATCTCAGATAAAACACATAAGAAAAAACACATTGTTTTCAGACACTTTAAGACACACAGACAGCTTTGAGCATCCATATGTAGGTGACAGAGACTAAACTGTCTGTCATTACATGGACCTGAATCATACACCTTATTTCAAGTTTTATCTTGTGGACAAAGAGGACAGAAAAAAAAACTTGTACAAGGACAGAAAATATAAATTGTGTAAGGCACAGTAACTGTTCCATGCAATGCATGAACACAAAGCTTAATTTTATTAAGAACTCGGTGAATAAATTAATTTAAAAGATACAGGGAAGTAATGGTCTTAAAGAGGACTCTGCAGCCTCTGCTTCAATTCTTGGCTCAGTTTCTCCTTCACCTGACAAGAGGTTTTTTCTACTCATGAAAAAGAGAGAACCTGGTGTTCACCAACCTCAGTGGGCCAACATGAGGAGGAACATGATGTGGTTTGTAAGGTGCCAAGAAATACTGTCTGCTAAGGGAGTGGGAAATCTGAAAGCATCTGTTTTACAAGTAACTGAAACCATTATTTTATGAGAAAACAGCCTCAGTGGATTCCCTGGGGTGAGGGAATGGGGGCTAGGGGGAGAAGAACAAAGTACAAGTTCTTCAGTACAAGTACAAGTACATTCATAGGTAGGAATTTTAGAAAGAAAAAATAAAGAATGGAGGTAAGGATCATGCACCATGGTTAAATAGAAGAGAATAGTGGTCTTTAGTAAATCAGGAAAACTGAAAATGAGGGCTCACTTAAGACACTTAGAGCTTACTTAATAACAGGGCTCAGAAGTGTTCAGTCCAGATCTGTTACATTCATTAACCTCCAGGAAACTAATGGCACACTTGAAACTACTTCATTGCAAATAGTCCAGTTCTTAAGGGAAGAGAAAATGCCCTGTGCACATTCCCCTCATCCTGCCCTGGCCAGGCACCAGGTGCTGTTTGCCAGGACTTCCCTGGCTTCTGGCAAGATGAGAGTTCTCCCTTGCAACCCCAGCATCAGTGAGCTGCCAGCGTCAACATCTGCGTGATGCTTCCTGTAAAGATGATACTTATTGGCTAATATGAGCTCTCATCTCTGGCTTTCTCTGTGGATGCTAATTTGAATGCAATTTTTAAATTCTGTTGTAGATCATATCTGCTTCCTGTAACATGTGTTGAGGCCTCTCTCTAAAGAGGCCTCTTGACTTTCACTAGAGAACTGCAGTAACAGCACAAATGACTTAGAAGGAGCATGGATATAAACTTGCAGAGATAATATCAAGATTAATTATCCAGTACATCTATTCAAGCTTACACCTCATGAGTGCATTGCTTATATTTGCCTCAGTTCACTGTAAATCTCCCTTTCATTACTGTTCACAGCCCACAAATGTGACTATTTTTATATATTCTAGAGGCATACATATTTACACTTTGAAAAAAAAACCTAAACACACCAAATGTCTGATGAACAGTTCCCTTTTATCCTTAACATATTCAAAGGCCAATATTTTAGTGCTGTAATGAAATAAAACCTTTTCTTGAACAGAAATATTCTAGCACACTTTGATCCTCACTTGTGTCTATTTTAAGCACATATTTGCTGACTGCTCTAGAGCACATTAAAATAAACTAATCCGTTAGAAATTGTTTTTGGTGTTCCAATTATGATAATTAAAAAGATAGTATTCATGCTGCTTAGATGATATGAAGTGTACTTAGATACATTTTGAGACTCTAAAGGCAATGACACATACCTGTTGTCTTTGTTAAGTACCTATAATTAAAGGGTAAATTGGCAAGCAAATGTACAGAAAATTGAAAAATTATCCAAACTAGGATTAAAAAATTATTAATAACCATTATAAACATGCACGGTGGTTCCTCTAAGACATTTTGAATTATGGAAAGAGAGGAAATAAATAAATAAAACTCATATACAGAGAACATCAGGAGTAAACTTGTATAATATTAAGATAAATTATATGCAACATCTTTTTTAACTCTGCTCTTTGCAGCACATCTCACCTTGGTGCAGCTACTTATTTCTCCTTTGGAGATACTTACAGATTCATTCATCATTCAAACTATCAATAGTTTAGTACTGAAAATGAAACAAAGCAACACCAAACACAAAAGTGTTTGCACTAAAAGACATCAAAATTTGGTACATCTACAGCATATGCAAAATTTGCTAAATTCTCACAAATCTAATATTTTTTTAAATAATCTAGTTTCTATTCTCTATTAATTTTTCTTTTAGTGAAACAAGACCTTTGCTTCCAAGTAACCGAGCAGTCAAGTTAAGAACACTAACATCCTGCCTGTGTATGTATATATATCACATGGACTTGCATGGATATTCCAATATTTATGTCAGTTTTACAGATTACAGAGAGATAAGCATTTGTGATCCTTCCATCAGGAGTGTCAGAGACCTCCGTGTGCTCTCAACACAGAAAGCAAAAGCATCTGCCTAAAGCTCAGAAGTGCTCAGGACATCCACATTTCCCTTCCCTTCTGCAGGCACCTGATGATTGCTCCTTTTCAGAATCCATGGGTCAAGGCACTGATGTTTCTTTTTCTCTTAACTTTTTAAAGAAGCTTCCAGTGACTAATGAAGTTTGGAGTTGCTGTAGTTTTGTTGATATCGTGACACAGTATATTTCCATTTCCAAACTAATTTTTAGAATCAAATTTTGGAACCAGGGATTTTCCAATTCACATGGAAATTACTTTCCATGATCAAATTCTATTATGCATTTGAAAATTCTTATTTCTCAAATTCTTCTTAGTAAACTCACTTATAAAGAGCAGAAATAGATGGACCTTATTAGACATTAAAGTCCAGTTTGCTCACTGAAGAGCAACTCAAGCAGATGGAGAGGATATCTGGTTCAATCACTCATTTACAGGAGTGATCAGTTGTAGATATGAAGGAAAAGAGTTTCAGGCAGAATTACCTGTGAGGTAATTCTTCTGCTAGCACATATTCCTACCTTCCAGCAGCCAGCAGCAGTGGGAACTGTCCTCCTGAACTGGGTTTATATCCCTCTGTTCTTTTGTACAGAACAGAACACCCTCTTTTCAGTTCATCTGCTAATGCAGTGAGTAGCACAGATCCTCACAGCACACCCCTCCAGCTATTTGCCAACAAGTAATTGGTTCCTACTTCCTTTTTTTATCATCTCTAATCAGTCATTGATTTATGAAAGGACCTTCTCACTTGTCCCATGACAACTTTCAGATTATTAGGATTGAGAAAGAACCTCATCAAAAGTGTTCTATGGAAAAGAAGTATATATGATCATATCAAGCATACTTACTTGCTTTCTAAATTAAAAAACAACAACAAAAAAAAACTCTAGTAGATTAAGAAAGCATGATTTTTCTCTAAAAGAAAAATCAAAAAGCATTCACAGTCTCATGTGCACTCTTCATTGTTGTATCATATGCTTATTCATTCTCTCTATTCAATATGTTGTGGTCAAAACCCGATTTCTTCATATAAAGGCTAAAATGGTTTGTTATGCAGATCCCTCTGAATTGTCTTTTGAAAAATAGGATTTGATACTTGTCACACCTATTCTTTCTGTGGAGGCCACTATAAGCCATAGGCTATACATCAAAGCTGGTTGTTTGGAAAATTTTTGTCTAAGTTCCTTTAAAATACCTGGGTGCTTGTATTTGTCACAGTTCCTTGTATGAATTTCTTCTAAAGTCCCTTCTATTGACACTAAATTTTAAACAGTTTCTGGGACTAACCTCTCACAAGCAAAAGCTTCAGAATCAGAAGTTTCCAAACTCTTTCAACACAAAGAATTATCTTATTTTTATTCCTTAGAGACTCTCCTCTCTCAGTGAATTTGACAAAAAGGTTTGAAGTATTAGTTCTTTTGCTCCTAGAAATTTGGTCCTCTAAATCTTTCTGGTCTTGCTTTATCACAATTTTACATCTAACTTGCTAGAGTTCAAGCGTAATTTTTATTCTTAAATTATTCTGGTTTCTAGAGCTTTTTTCCTGTTATTTAACTAGGCTTTAAAAATGTCACAGTTCTTGAGTCATGTGAGCAGCCCCCAGAACTTTGTACAGATTACTACTGAAAACACAGCTGCAAAGCAGTAAGGTAGCAGCTCTTCCCCACCAGCATTAATGGGAAATCAGTAGTGATGTGTCAAATGTTTATCAGCAACTTCTACCAGAGAATGTTCCTCCCACATCACACAGGGCCTCTTGACCCATAAAAACAAACCAGCCAGCAGTGACAGACAGTACTGTGCCTTTCTCCGAGTCCTCCTCCTGTTGCACATCATTTTTGGGACATGATTACATTTGTACTTCTCTCTCAGGTATGAGAGGACTTTGTTCAGAGCCACCTAAATCCTTTTCCTCTTTGAAAAATGTCCTAAAAATGACTGGGAGTGAGTGGCACTGTCCAAACTTCCAGGTCACTTGCGAGCAGAGGTCAGCAGTTATGGTAGAAAATAAAATCACCCCTACACCCATGACTGATGGGTTATGTTTGACAACTCTCTGCCTCCTGACTCTTTTAGACACAGTGAATGTAAAGTTTTCAGTGGCTCCAGCCTCTCATCTCAGTTTTCTCTAGCGTGCCATGGCAGAGATTCTGGGACAGCTGAGCACTGCTGAAATTTGAAAGAACCCAGTATTAAAGAGGGTATAACAGCAATGTCTCTCGTTTTTCTCTGAGCAGGCTTCCTCTCCACTCACATAAAACCTTTCAAGCAGCAGCGGTGGCTGGAGGAAGAGCAGCTGTAATGCTTCAGGGGTACCTCAGACTTGTGACCACCTCATCCAAGTGCTCCCTCTGATGATCAACAAAAATGTGTCTGCCTAATGATGACAGTCCTCTAATTAAGGCAGAACTATTTAAATCTAGCACTAATTTTAATCAAAAGAACTGCCTAATTAATATACATGCTTTACAAATGAGATCACTTAGACACAAAAAAATTTAAGCGAGTGGTTTGAAGGCAAAACTGTTTACAGAAATTGGTAGAAGCAAATATAAGCAGACTTAAATTACCAGTCCTCTGCTGTACCTTCTTCAGTGTGATACATTATCTTTGTGCCTTTCTCTCTGTGTCCAAAAGAAATTCAGGAGAAAAAGGGGGAATCACTCAGCAATTTTTGAGGTCCTGACTCTGGGGACTGAGACCACAGAAGTGGTGGCAGCCACTTTACAGACCCTAACAGCACAGAAAAAGAAAGCAACTTTAACATTCAGGGCTAATAAGAGCAAAGAGAATTGCCAGGATAAAGGTAAAACTGTTGCACACAGACTGGTATAGAATTCTAAAGCCTGGTATAGAATTTTAGAAAATTTCAATTCAAAGCCCCATTAAGGCAAACAGAAATGAACATCCAAACTAGGAACACATAATTGAAAAACTCAGCTCTTTTACCTTATTTTTTTTCCACACTAGAATATATGCTGTCTAAAAGTAACCAGTAACAGAAATTAGAATCACACAGATAGCACTTCACATGCAGGTAAGAATTTTCAGTTAACTACAGATATTACTCCTTGTCCTTGAAGGTATTGAACAAATCCACTGGATACAACTTCGTATGTTTTATAGTCTATATCACAGTCTTCTCTAGTCACATTTATTATTACATATCTGTCAATACTAGAGGACAGAACTGCTATCACTCTGTATTTATGGAGATGTTCGTACACCATTTTGCTACAGAAAACAAAAGTGATTTAAGCTATCATTCACAATGGACAGAGTGCAAAAACACACACATACACACTGAAGTCTCACAGCTGAATTACCAGGTTTGAACTTTTAATTTTCAGTCACAAACAACACACCAGGTACAGCTGTTATCTGAAGCTTGATGCATACATTCCCAAACAAGCACTTTATGAGGAGACTCAGAAGGAAGATACTCACTGATCTGGTTGGTAGATGCACTATAAAAAGCATTTACAGTAGTTGGGCTTGTAAACCACCTGTAGCAAGAGCAAAAGAAATTGTCTGTCAGTACATTGACATTCACCTTTATGAATCAAAGGAGCAAAGATAAAAATTGAACTCAGTAGAAGGAAGTAAAAACATTAAGGACTTAAGATACATTAAAATTTAAGTATTTCTCCATTTCAGTACATGCTACCTACACTTTCTAGAACATTGAAATCTATTGTTTAATTACTTTAACTGCATACAGTCAATAAATGGCCAACAGGAGCAATTCTTACTGTTCCTTTCATGTGATCTGTTTAATTTTTAAGTGACCATTGTGCTTGTGAGGCCAGCCATGCTGATGACACAAAATTCACCCAGAAGAGGCTGCAACACAGACAGCAGCCGTGAAAACTCTACTGTGTGTTTTTCAAATGTGTGGAGGAACTCTGTGTTGGAATTAGAGGAGAGCATTTTGAAACAGGTAAAGTGGCTTTAGAGGCATTGCTGAACAACTACTTGAAAAATTAGGATTATGCCAGCAACATAAACAGATAATTTCTGGGAATGTAAATGCAAAATAAACATCTTCATGTTCTGTACCCTATGCAGTGAACATGACCATCCCAAACAAACAGACCTCTTGCCAGGCATTTCTTCTCATAGTTTGATTTCTCATATATACTGGAAAAAAAACCTAGATTTGAATAGGAGTTGGACTTTAATGATCCTTGTGAGTCTCTTCCCACTCAGGATATTCTATGATTCTATGAATAGCAAATGAATCTCCTTAGCCTAAGCTCATTTTGTCATATTGACAGTAGCTTCAACCATATGAATGGAAAATCTTGACTGACTTCGGCAAGATCCAAATTCCCTCAGACGAAACCCTGAGTTCAGTGAGCCCAAGATTTAACTTTGTGTTTTGATAAGGGAGAAATTAGGTTAAAGAAATAAAGATTATGATAATTAGTAGTTAGTTCATAATAACTTAGAAGAAACTCTAGTAAATGTTCAAACAGGAACATCCTGATATCATTTGTAAAATAATACTCAAAAGTTTTATAAAGCCATGTGAATGCAATGTAATTGTTTTGGAAAATTTCTTTTAAAGAGAAGAGAAAGAAGCTGCAAAACATTGAGTAAGATCTTTCCAAAGGAAGATCTTTCAGAATATGGAAAATGTGTGATATCAGTGACAATGTACACACAGTTCATGCTTTTAAATAGCCCCATTAATAAAAGTGTCATCTGCAGATCCTGACTGTTTTTCTGACAACTAATGTCCTTACTTAAACCATGTAACAAAGTGTAGAGTTCAAAAATGGCAGCATTTTGTCTTTTATCAATAAATTTAACTGCTTATTTTATTCTCCAAGCTAAGCAGCTTATTTTGCAATACATCAACTAGAAAAACTAATAAATAAAGGCTAAGAGTGATGTCATGTACATATTTTAACCATCCATTACATTACAGGCTGTAATTGTCAGAGATAACTCTCCCTGTTTTGTTTATTAGGAGATTGTGAAGGGGAGGAGCAGGGGAGGCTGTTTTCTGGTCTGTTTTCTGCTTTCTTCATAATAAGGAGATTAAATGTTAGAGGTAATGTAGTGAGATAATGGAAAATTGAAGAAAGAATGTATATGGTGAGGGAAAAAAAATGAGGAGCTTAATTAACTACATTTCAATTTCATGTTTGTTCACAGTAGCAATCAGCTGAACTGTTTTGAAGGATGCAAGCCTGCCGTTTATGCCTTGGAACCTGCACTCCAGGCTTAGCTGTAAATCTGGAGGACTGTTCCTTTATTGATAAGGAGAAAGCCCATCTAAAAAAGTCAAAACTTCAATTTATATTTTACTGTAAGTTTGAGCAAAGACACATAGTGTTGTGACTTGGACCTCATCCTCTTGGCTTGTTCTGCTTACAATGGCCTTTCTGTTCTCAAACAGCAATTTTGAAGCATGAAAAAGGCTTCTGGGACAGAAAATGTTCCCTTTCTGCAAATTCCTCTCAGCCTTTTATTTCCAGTCAAAGGATCAAGGGCCTGAGATGCATAAGAGATATTTCAAAACAGATTAATGTGCTGTGGCTCTTCTCTCCATGCTCTGTGGGGGCTTACCACTGCTAGCTGCAAAGAGGAACACCGCAAGCAGCAGCAAAGAGCTCTTCACTGACCAGAGACAGCTCTCTAACAGCACAAGTCTGCACTTGTTTTCCTGGGTGAGGAGGTGGTGATGCAGGCACTTGTCCCCACAGGAACACTTCACTCTGCCCAAGAGCAGCACTGAATGCTGGCAACATTTGGTCCACATCTACTGAGGGAGGACTTCACACATCCTCTGGCCATATTTTCATAGCCATGAGCTTATAGACTTGGAGCTTGCAGGGGAAGATAGATCACAGCATGCCTGTCCCGAGGCTGCTGCTTTTCTCATGATCTGCCACCAGAATTGCAGAGCCCATCCTGTTTGCTGAGCTTAGCATGAGCCCAAGGCTGAGAGCAGCCTTGATTTTCCCACTGTAAAACTGGACTCAGTTCTTTCCAAATTGCTTCTCCATAACAAGGCCTCAAGAATGACCCTGTATGGAATTCATTATGCTTTTAAGCAGTTAGGAAGAGGACACTTAGCAGCTATACTGAGGAGTCAGGAAGAATGAGAGTTCTCTAGTAACAAGCAGACTATTGTATTAAGCGTTCTCTAGTAACAAGCAGAGAAAGAAGCATATTTCTATTCCAGCATTTTGTTGTACCATTCTGAGCCCTCTCAAAAAGATTTAGGAAATCTTTTTTCCACAAAAGAGTAGCAATAACCAAGACTGCTTCCATCCAGGCTAGCAGAACAACTTCATTTCTCATCTGCCATGTTCTTTCAAGTGAGCTCATGCAAGTGAGCTCCTTGAAATGACTGAACCTTCAGGGACCGTTCTTAACTAATAACAGACCAAATTACAACATGAAGGTGTGTAATAAATAGCTGTTACTGTTAAATTTTAAGGTGAAGCAAATTTAGAAATAACTCTCCCATTCCTGTTTGAAGTCAGAGTCCCTGAGAATTTAATCTAGGTCTGGTGACAATTTCTGTGTGCTTTATCTACAGAAGGATAGAAAAAAAGAAAGACATTACAATTTCCAAACTCTTATTAATTACAAAGTAAATAAAAAAAAAATTCTAGAACTGTTTACACTGTTTTCATTTGCTATAAGTTTGTGAAAAAGGGATAGTTTTGAATGATGTAGTATTACCTATCTGGTACTGCAGCAGTCAAAATCTAATTCTGCAGAGTTGACACTTGTAAGGTTGAGATTTCTCTTGTAGAAATAAAATTTGAAACATACAATGAGATAGCAAGTGGGGCAGAAACTCCCTTAGTCTGTGTTCTTGAGGCTGAAATTTCCTCTGGTATTTTCTTTCTGTGTTAAGAGTATAGTGTGCTACATTGCCATTCATGAACAGGGATGGTTGGAAATATTAACAACACAGAAAAATCTTATTTGTTTATTTACTTCTCTGTAAAGCATAAATTGAATTTGCAAATTGATTCTCAGCTTTTTGAGTTGGAAGAAATCATTTGGTTTGCTGGTCAACATTCAAAGTAAGAAATAAAAAATTAATAATCATATAAACATAGCAAATGAACTTCTAAATGTACAAAGGCAAGCTGGTTAGAAGGGATAAGCTGTTCAAAGTTTCTGGAAGCTGTAAAATGTCTTCCAAAGAAAACACTAAAAAGAAAAACTTCTGAATGAGGGGCAACCTTCAAAGTGACTTTCAAAATTGTATTTTCTCTTTTCCTTGTTAGTTTCTTTAATATATTTTCCCATGTAGAAGCAGATTATTGACCCAGGCCAGGTTACCATCCATCTCCCTTAGGAATAGGCAAGGAACTAGAATGATAAGGCTGGGTCCAGCCTTCAGTGCCACATTTGCTGCTTAAAAAGAGGTTCAAAGACCAGGCAAAGGCTCCAGGAGGTTCCTTTCCAGCCTCTCCTCTCCAGGGAAGATCCCAGCCACACAATTTCCAGCAGTGCCTCTCCAACAGACAACAGCCTGCCCAGTGGTTTTGATGTCTGTTTTTACCTTTTTTGCAGGAGCTTTTACACCATCCTTAGAGGTATCCAACCCAGAACCTCTCAGAGGTACCCTCCCTTGTGACAAACCAAGAGCCAGGGCTAACACACAATAGTGTGTGATCCAGAAAAAAGGGATGGGTTCTGGAGGAGACCCCAGAATCCTCTTATAGCATCCTTCCTTTGTATCCTCTTATCAGGATACCAGACATCTACATCCCCAGTGAAAAGTGGAGAAAAATTTGGCCAGGTCTAAAAGTCTTAGATTATATGCTGACTTCAAAGGAGAAAGATGAATAATAATGAAGTGGTGTGGCCAAGAGGTCTTCTGATGCTTTGTTAAATGCAAGTATAATATCAGTGTTAAGAAGGACAGATCCTATCTCTGATTAAAAGGTGCAGGCATGTGTTTGTATACACACACACTTAAATTTCTATGTATGAATGTGTATGACTCCATGGATGGATAGGCAAATGCAACTAAAACCCTGACTCTCCTTCATTTTTCCCTTCCCCATGGCTATCACTTCCCCCTGTACTGCCTTTCACTTTCCTCTGCTCCAGCTGTATCTCACCTGGCTTACAATGATTGTCTCCACACCTGGTGCCCATCCTCCCACACTGCTGCTTACAGCCTCTCCACTGAGCCCTCTCAGCCTAACCTGTGCTGGTGTGTGCACCCCATTCCTCAGCTCCTGCACAAATCCCTTTCATTTTTCTCTCTGCTGATACCTGAGCACTTTTTTTCTTGTTGGCTAGAGCCAGCTGTGACGGTGACAGTCACCTCCCCAGCCAGCTGTGAGGCTGCAGCTGGCACCCAAGGCTGGTGTTGAGCACAAGTGACACCTCCCAGAGCTGTGGTGTCCTCGGGGAGCCTGGCCCCAGGAGTGGCAGAAGAGGCAGCTCCAGCACCCCTGTGCCTTGTCACAGCTCCCCAGTGCCTTGTCACAGCTCCCCTGTGCCTTGTCACAGCTCTCTGGCACCAGTGGGGCTGGGTGTGGCCCCTCACCCATGCCCTGAGCAGGGAGGAGCTCATCTGAGTTCCTCCATGCTCCCTTCTCCTGCCAGGCAGATAAATGCCAGGGATGCAGGGAACAGAAGAAAGAATAAAGATTTTTTGCTAATTATTCCTGATTTTGGGTTTTTTTTCTTTTCTTTTTTTTTAATTAAAAACTGTTGAATTTCCAAAACTATTCTTTTCCACTTTGTTATTCATATTGCCCCTTGTTTTATCCAACTGGTTTGTCTTGTATCTCCCATCTTTTCTGTCCATCCCCTGATGGTCTTTCCCTGGTGCTTCAATTGAACTATCATTTTAATTTCACATTTAGCTGAGGAAAGTGATTCCAGTTTGAAATAATTATTGAGAAAAATGGACCATTTGCTAAAAGAATATAGTGTTTTACATTTTGGATGTAATATTATTTTAGCAACTTTTATTTTATTTCCTTAAACACTAGTTTTCTTATTTCTCCTTTTGGTCCACAACTTTGGTGAGCTTATAATATCTATCTCAAAATATAAATGTTATGCTAAAAGCTACTAAACTAGGCAAAAGAAGAAATGAAGCAAACAGAAACAAAAACCCAAGGGTAATTAGTTATTAACACAACACCAAGCTTCATCAAAAATTCTGTGGAGTTATATGAAATGTAAAAGTTTAAAAAAGAAAAACACAAAAATGAGAGAAAAAAAACAAGGCAAAAGTATCAGAAAGAAGTGGAGTATGATGATTTAAAAGTGGGAAGTAGCTAAAAAGTGGCTGATATTTTTGAGGCCAGATTTGACATGCCTTAGACTGGTGAGTGAGAGTTATTGGTTTATTTAAATAATTTTTTAAAAAATTACTGGTGGCAGCAATGACTGTGCCTTGGTGTCCCTCAGCAGGCAGAGTGACACCACTTTCATTGCCCTTTTCTATCACTGAACAGTTGCAGAGACAGAATAATATCCCAGCAGGAGCCCTGATTATCCCTCCCTGCCGGGGCTCAGGTGGAGAGTCCCTCCAGCCCTGCAGAAGGCAGAGCAAATAGCTGTGTTAACAAAGGGAAGGGACCAGAAATCCAGCTGGCATCCCCCAGGCCTGAATGTGCTGAGGGGTGACAAGAGAAGAGCTACAAAGTTGGTGAGGGGCTGGCTATTATGTAGTCCTGGGAATAAGAAGGTAAAGACAGGCATGAGATGTTCCATCTCGTAGAGGGCCACTGGATAACACTTTCATTTTTGAAGCACAGCCATGGGACAGCTCTCAGATGACAGCCCTGCAGTCAGGGGCTGCCTCCCACTTGATTTCCTGACAGGGGAGCTTTCCCATTTTTGGGAGCTTTCTCATTTTTCCCAGCTCTCCTTTTGCCAGGAGTCTACAGGTTCTGCACCAGTGCTGGCTGGCCCAGGGCTGACCATTGCTGTAGAGAGGCCA